CGTTAATAATATTGCCAGAGTTTTTAAGAATCGAACGATCATATGCTTTTGACACTTGTTGTTTGCGCATAGCGCTCAGTCTTCATCGTTGTCGCGTGTCGCTTTGCCGCGGATTTGCTTATCGCGCAGCGCTACGCAAGCGAAATTGAACGAAAGAAATATAATCGCAATCTAAAATCGGATCTTAATCGTCTTTAAGCTGCCGATTTGTGTTTAAATTGATTGGAAAAGTGTGCGGCCTTGTAGGAGGTTGAACTGCTCATGTAGGCGTGATCAGAAATGTGCATGGAAATGTGTGAAAATTGTAATTGAAAATAGACCATTGTTTGCTTGCGTTCACGCTGACGCAGACGTTGACGTCGGCGTTCTCTGCCGCGACCAGAGCGGTGTCTCAAAAGTTGTCTTTTGGCGTTGTCGCGTTGTTGCTGCTGCTGCTGCTACTGCTGCAACAGCGGCTTGTGGGCGCGGGGGCGTCATTGTTGACGTTGCTTTGAGCGTTTACTTTATGTATTGCCTTCTTCTGCTGCCGTACGCGGAATCGTTGTCGCGTGTTTTTTTTCTCTTCTTCTCTGCGTTTGCCTTTACGTATTGAAAGTAACTGCGGCGAGCGCGTCGCTGCTCAAACATTGTTATTGTTATTATTGTGTGCGGTCGGTCGGTCGGTCGCCGTTTTTGTTTCTGTTTCTGCTTTTGCTATTGCTATTCAGCTTCCCCTTTTGCGCTTTTTGTGGTTAAGTGCGCGCACTCAAGGTGAAAAATATATTGAGTTCTTTCAAGTGCCATTTCGAGTGTGTGGCCATAAAATTTAATTTGCAATCAAATTATTCGATTTACGGGCAGTGAGTGAGTGCTATTGCTCCCATATTCATAGACATTTGTATATATGCCGCAGGGCCTAAGATCGGTCTGATGATTCAACTTTTACATTCACGAAAGGAATGCGTAAACATATTTTTGCCAGCGAATCTCCGAAGCGCCAAACAATTTAGATTTTAACGGATATTGTGAGTACAAAACGACACTTTAGTCGACTAGCCCATGTAAATAAGTAACTTTGTATGTATGTAGGGCCAATAAGAAAAACCCGTTCCACCTGTTGTTCGACACAGCTGGGTGCAGCCAATGTTGCAGGCCTTTAGTGCTTACAAAAGGGCCTTGCTGCACTGGCAACTGGGTCAAGTAGCGAGTCTTTGATAACGGTACAAAGACAGTGCAGTTAATTGCTAAAAAAAAACGACTTTGCTTACAAGTTGAATAATTGAAGACAAATCACAAAATATTCAACCACCCGTTCGCTGCCTATTCAGAATCAATTACAAACAGCAGCAGCAACAGCAACAAGAATAACAACAGTGGCGCCCTCTCGCACTCTCACTTTGCAATGAAAAGAGGGCACCCAGACACACGCGTGCTTAATTAAGCGCCACATTGTTGAGCAGATAGAAAGAGAGCGAGCGAGAGAGAGAGAGAGAGTGAGCACGCGGGAGAGAGAGGGACAGAGAGCGCGAGTGAGAAAGTAAAAAAGAGAAAGAGCTTTCGTATTCAAGTGGGGGCCGCAGCTGAATGTATGCATGTATGTGTGTCGGCTGCACTATAGCTGTTAAGTGGGCTGGGCAGATGGCGCCGCATGCAGCTGCCGCAACACGCGTTGCATTCAATTTTTTTGCGGACCGTAAAAAATTTCACACGTTGTGCAGATTTTTTAACGGCTTCCGCACTCACAGATATATTTATTAATGCATGTGCTTACACACACACACACACACACGAGTGCTTGAACCGAGGTAAAATGCCGATGACGACTCAATTAAACTTTCAGCGAAAATCAATGACTGAGCCATTGAGAGCACTTAAAGTTATGCATGAAGCTAACAAACATGCACACACATGAGCATGTGCAAGTATGTATTTCTGTGTGTGTGTGTGTGTGTAAATGTGCTCTTATATTACACATACACGTGCAGCAGTCTAGGTATGTATTAATGTGCATAATTTGCAGATCAATTGAGCGGCAACAAAAATGCCTTTGACGAGCTTTAGCACCATTTCGAAATGCCAAATTAACATAAATAGTTAAGCGACAATTAATCTTATAAATAAAAGATACTCTGATTGCATTTATTTACCTGAAGCTGACTGCAATAAAGAACCCTTCATTACAACTAATACGAATTTAATTCCAATGGCTTGTGTATGTGTGGGTGCGTGTGTGTGCGTAGCTGTCTGTGTGTTGTGCTTTGTTTATTCAGCTGGAATTGTGTATACAGATTACACTATGCAACAGCTCTCAGGCTCAATAGCAAGAATTTTATTAGCCTTTTAGTAATGTTTTCTTTGATGACCCATTGATGCCAAAATGAAGATAACAGACAAATAATGTCAGACTTGTAGTCTAGTGTTATTAAAGTTGTTATCAATATTTGACACTGGCAAATCAATTTGCAAGGCAATTGCCATTGATTCAGCGAAACAGAAGCACTTTAAAACACTTAAATATAGAGATTTCTATGGCTACGCACGTAGCAAGTCGTGGATGCTTAATGGGTCTATAGTAATACTTTTCTATTGTTTAAGTTAAGCTAATTTTTATTGTTAAAGTTATATTTTGAATGTATAAGTTATAAATGTTATGCATCTAAATAGTTTCTGAAAGTATCCTAAATTCAAATAAAATAATTCAAAGCTGAGATCTTCAGCTCTTAAGCCTGAATATGGGAAGAATCACTACAAATAGTTCAAAGTCCTATTCTAAAATGTCAGGACTCGTAAGGGATCTGCATTTGAAATTTAGATATTTACTTAATATTATTATAAGCTGCAATTACAAATCGAGTTGAATATTTTTGAATAGAACTGCATATTTCACATGCTTTTCAGTGCTAAATTTCTATATAAGATTAGAAAAATCAAGACAAACGCCTGTCTAATCACTCTAAACATTCATTTGTACAAATTGACCTATTCTATCATCAATTTGAAATCTTTCTATTATAGAAACCGTCTGTGCATTGCGATTCTATATTTCACTCAATTAATAATCGGCTATAAATAGTTGATTTCGGTTTTCGACTCGTAGCATTACTGACTGACTCACTACTAAGTATATCCCCAGTATCTTCAGACTCTTCCATTTCAGGCTCTTTCTGCCATTAAATGCTCTTTCACTCTCTTTGTTTGTGAGCTACGTTTTGTTATGGAGGACAGTTTCGTATAGCAGACGTGCCATTGCTCACATTTTGTTTAATTGGTATTTTTTGTTGTTGTTTGTGCCTTTTGCGGGTTGCATTTTGAACCTGATTGCAACTGGCAGCAAATGTCGCGACGTCGGCAGTTGCTTTTGTGTAATTCAAGCTGACATAGAGATGCACCTTTGTAAGTATTTTCATTCAAACGGGTATATTAGTTTCTGTGACTTTAATTAAATTCAAACTCCCTGCTCTCCTCTGCAGTTCTCATAAATCTAGCTCACTGTAAGTGCTTTTTCATGCCTACACTTAGTTCATGACATGATGCTCCCTACATAAAGACTAAATTCAATGCGCATTTCAATGCAGCTGTGTTAAAACATTGAATCGCAATTTATCCGTTTAATTTGCGCTGACATTCGCCAGAGAATCAATTGAAATTGAGAGAAAAGCAGGTGCAAGGCAGCGAATGGTGGGCGGTTCAAATAATTTAACCCAATCGCATGTGGAAAATATCTTTGCCTTGGCTCTGGTCATGATGCGGATGCAATTGGATTGGCAGGATATCCTGGTACTCGTGTTGCACACAAACAGGATATGCTGTTCAAATTTTGGTTCTCTTTGATATAATTGAATTTTCCAAGATGAACGACAATTGTTTTATGGCAATCGGGACTGGGCTTGGGCGTGGGGTAAATAGACAAGCATATAAAAGGCGACAGAGTGTGGGGCGGTGAGACGGGCGTATTCCCAAAAGTGTCGCACAGACAAAAGCTTCAATCAATGCCTAAAACTTTGAGAGTCGCCCCTTTGCTCCCGTTGCTTTAACCTTTATCCCTTTCATTGTGCGACAGTTCAGTACAAAAGCTGTCTAAGCCAATAAAGCAGCAAAGGATAACGGCAAGAAGCGACCCGAGGACCATTTGCTAAACCGTTGCGCTTGGACCGATTTCTGATTATGGCCCTGTGTGTGTGTTTAGCTTTTAACACGTTTCGAGTTTAAAGAGCTTTTTATCATTATTGCATAAGACTTCATTTGGTGACTAAGTTCACAGTTTCAAACGGTCTCTGGAATGGACCTCTAAATCGAATGGACTGGGCTCAAGTGAATTTAAGTTTTTTCTCGAGAAATTTTATATAATATAATATGTCCTTGATTATGCCTAGTTTGTAAAATGAATTCCTGCTCAGTTTGCTTAAGAAGAGTATTTCCTGCTGTGCTCTCATCATCAACTTTTCATACCATTTTCGCACACACGAATTGCTTAACATATGCTTTGGTTCCCGTTGCGCTCCATTGAATTGATCGAACCTTTAAGCCCTTTATTGGCATCCGGATGCCGGACGAGACAGATGACACACAATCACAATCCAATTGGATTCGTATTACTTGGCTTGAAAATCCTTTTTTATGTTTTGCTGCTGTTAAATTGTTTATACTTATGAAGTTCTTGTTTTAAAGTTATATTTTATTATTTTTATATATTTTAAGTTTTAAAAAATATAGCATGGGGTACAAAAGGCTTGAAAATGTATATTTAATGTATATTGTATTTCAATATTTAAATAAAATACTGCAAAGATTATCTATTTTGAATAATAAACAATCATTTTTTACTATTAATAAACATTAGGAATTTATACTTGAGATATTCAATGAAGCTCGTTAAGGTCTTGGCCTAGAAGATTTGTCTTGTTCGTAATAAATACGTCATTTCTTGAAATTGATTGTATTGTAAAATATGTAAATCCCGCTTTGATTTTCAGCATATTTTGTAAAAAGTTTTATTGTTTATGCTTATTGTCATTTGTTGCTTGAGTTGTCTTAAGATTTCTTATCTTTACAATCGTCAAAGAAATAAGCAGAGTCCTCAATCATTGGTTCCACTGAACCGATTTCGTTAGCTTCGAAAGTCGTATTATACACTGTAAAGAAAATATTTAAAGTTCATAATCTATGAAAGGATAAGTCAATGAGCACATACAGAGCGAGAGGAATTTGCTGCGAAATTCGTCCACGGCATAGCCGTAAACGTAAATATATAGAAAATAGGCAAGGAATCCAAATAATAGAATCAGTGTAACCACAACAGCGCTGCAAACAATGCACTGAGCCGTCCTGGGTGGATCCATTGACAGTGAGTGAGACGAGTTCCAGACAACTGCCACGCCTTTAAAGCATATTACTACAAATTTTGTGATGTTATTTGCGATGTTTTGTACAAGTTTTTCGCATGAAACGCCAGCCAGTTAGCAATTGTCCTATTTTTGAGTGCTGCTACTTTTTGTATCGTTGCTCGGACTTGCCTCAAATCAAATTATATTGGCTTTATATACTGACAGATGTACATAGAATGTATGTATATAAGCGCAAGGGTAGCGGGCGCCTTAAGTTATGCAAACACTTTTGTATGTGTGCCACTCCTACGGGATGCTTTGCTTTCTCTATTCCTTTTGCACATACACACACAGACACGCGCGCACACACATACACACAAATACAGCAGCACTCACACACACCAACACCCAGACGCACACGCACAGTCACATATAACTTTTATCCTTCTTGGGCCAGAGTTTTTTTTGGGGCTTTCACTGTGAATTTTTGTGTTGAACAAAAAAGATTTTAATTTCTTGTGTTTAGTTTAGTGTTGCTGTCGTGTTTCATTACAAGTTTGTAAAAGCACAAGCTATACTCATTTCTCATTTCACATTTCTAGCATTAAACTTCACACATGCATAACCAATGACCAGCCAAACGGAGGCTGCCAGACCTCACTCGCGTCCCATTGCCCATACGCACCGTGTGGCAAAAGCAGTGAACGCTCGATGGCTCGGTCGCTGCCGCTGTTGGACTGCTGCTGGTCACAACTTTGCGCCTGGCGCGACGCTTTACTACTGAATATCCCTTTGTGAGTGGTAAAAGTTTTCCTTCGGTCTGCGAAGCTTTCGCGTTGCCAAACAGCTTTTTTGTTTGGCATACAGCTTTCTAAGTTCAAAGAAAGCTGCGCTACGCCTGCGCCTTGCGCAATTCATTTATTGTTTTTTACGCCTTACGCTTTGCTGTTTTTATTCGTCGCCCAGCTGGTTTTGCCTTTCGCACGTGCGTTCGTTGGCGTCGCAGTCGCTGCTAGCGTCAACGTCGCCTCGACCACTTGTAGCGTTTGCTTTGTGCTTTGCCGCTTGTATACGTTATTCGTATGCTGCTAGCCTGCAACTGAGAGATTTTAGTTAGTTCGTGTATACGCGCGTGCGTGTGTGTGTGTGTGTGTGTGTGAGCTGGTGCTTTTTAATCTAGTTTCAAATTGATTGGTTTTTAATTTACATTTCTTATAATTTGTCTAATTAGCTTAGTCCATTGACAGGCCGATAAAAATGCCGCTTCGAAATTTGTCAGAAATCATGCGGCATTAAAAAGCGCGGTCACTCAATGTACAAACATAGTTATCACTTTTAAAATGATTTAAATATGTATTTAAGTTCTCTATCAAAATCACAAAGAAGAGCAGTTATCTATATGTCAGCCTCATACAAGCAGGGTCAATTTATCTAAGCAATAGTATAAAAATCTCCTTATATGATAGTAATCTAAAGATATCTTTGCTGTAGTAAAATATATATTTATGTATATGTAAACGGCTATCGCACAAATTTGCTTTAAAGACTAGAAAGCTTAAGTTAATAGTTTTAAACCTTGAACTAGAATAGTTTCGCGCACTTTAGTTTCGAGTAGTTTGTCAATCTTTGCACTAAGACTCAGTGGTACTTGAAGAAGAACGCAACAGGCTCAACCAAACACAAAGAAAGATGTGCAGCGACAGTCTTAAGTGAAACGTGACCTTGGCCCGGAAAATGCAATTGCATTTGCATTAGGCATGCTAAGTAATCTTCACTGTCATCCACCATGTCGAAATCAAATCAAATTTGCGCACGCCCCTTTGCCAGCACTGAAGCGGATGCACAAAGTGAGAGGCCAAACTAATGCACAACTAAGAAAGCTAATTCGCCGCGCTGATGCGTAAAACGTGCAAAAATATAGGTGGGAGGGGCGCGGGCATACATGAATGAAAGCAAAAGTTTAAGCCAACAACAACAACAACAACGGCAACGGCAACGGCAGTGACAAGCAGCTACTACCTTAAAGAGAGAGAAAAAGAAAACACTCGAAAAGCTACACCCACGACACACTGCCTTATATGCTGGAAAGCTTTTGGCGCTCGCCTGAGCTTTTTGGCTGAGACTCGACGCGCAAGCTTTTCCAGCATTTTCATTTGAGCGCTGGCCTTTTGTGGGTCGCCGTCGTCGGTTCGGACGTGTTGCTGTTGCCCGTTGAAGCGTTGTTGCTGCCTCTCGTTGTCCGTCGCGCCGTGTAGCATCTGAGAAAGAAAATTTAAATATTCAGTCAAATCATAAATTATTTATTGATGCCAGTTATATATACGACATCAGCTATAAGTCAAACTGAAGAAAACAATACAAGTATCAACTGTGGCTGCTGTGTTTTGTTTACGTTCGTCACAAAAATAATTTGTGAAGATATTTGTAAGTGGCTTTTCCTCTAGCATGAAAATGTACACCTGGCAAAGCGAGCCCGAGCCAGAAAAGTGAGCTATGTGTCTGTGGTGGTGCGGTGGTGCGGTGGTGCGATGGCTCTGCCAGCATCAGTCAGCAACAAAAAATAGGCAAATAAGTGACCTGGCCGCTGCCTCACAGGCATGTGTATACATTCTTCCTGCTAGCCCACAAACACAGATACATAATACCTATATGTGTATGTATGTATGTGTAGGCAGTTAGTTGTATGTGTATGTATGTGTATACAACATAAACGTGGCTAACCAACTGCGTGGGAAATCGTTTGCTTATTGTGCTTTGATTGTTAATTAATTTGATGGAATTCTAAATAAATTTAAACTTAATTGTCTAACAGCTGCAGAGGGCAAATAAGCTAGGCACTCTCACATTAGTATGTACAATATATGATAACATATGATTTAATCGTGGGTGGGCGGTGGAGAAGGAATTATATGATGCGCCGCGGGTGTTCCAGCTGGGCCAGCTGTCACACTGACATGATTCAAATATCGCCTTTGCCGAACACAATTGCTTGCATGCTTCATGCCACACTTTCCTGTTGCCTAACAGGGGAACCTGCCACACACAGCAGCATCACAGCCAACTCTGTGGCCTCGCTTTCCATGTGTGTGTGCGTGTTTGACATGAAAACTTTTCAACAGTTCCGTAGCACTTGCTCCCCTGTCGGAAAACGCTGGCATTCCTTGGCACCCAGGGGCAACCTTACTGCCTGGCTGCCTGGCTGCATGGCTGCCAGCACAAAATGATGAATTTTGAATTAAATCTTTGAAGAGGCTGCAGCCAAAAAATAAACGTTTGCGTATGTGAGAAACCGGCCGGCTACAGATTTATGCTAATTGCCATACATAAATTCCCATCGGAATTGCTAAAGCCTAGAAGAATTTAGTCCTTAGGCCAGCTTTAACTGCCAATCATTGTGAATGACAAGCTAATAGATATTGTTGATTATGCGCAACTGATTCTAGCGAACTAATTATTATTCTTGTGTTGTAGCTTGTGGATAAGCATACCGACACCGACACACACACACACACGCACACACACACACTAAGCAACATACAACAGGGGAACACACACATGGCACACATCGAATATTCTAAGCATTACTCAAATTTATGGTCCGTGGCTATAATAGAAATCGCAGAATGCTGTTGACCGAACCTAAGCAAAACAAGCACTTGCCTAATAGTTAATAACTCAACAAATTGGAATCAGGAAATTTCATGTATTTTATTGATTATTTGTTGTGCATGCGGCCAGGCCAATGTTTATCTTTCGGTTGTATCTTGTAATTAGCGGAATACACTGAACTGTCGATAATAAATTTGTGTTAGCTAGCCCCCAAAATAGATTAGAGTACAGCCCAGTTCATGCGTTGCCAAATAAAATGTCTTTTAAGATTCCACCACATTTAACAGAGGACGAAAGTTGGTTTGTTTTTTTGAAGGAAATCAATGTGGCATGCTGCCCATTAAGTTTGTAAAAATATAAAAACTTTTACTGCAGTCTGTCTCTCTCTCCCTCTCTCTTTCTCCTAATGGAAACAGCATTTTTTATGATACTTTGTCCACCCTCTGCTTTCAGATCGTATCTGAGCCATTATCTATGAACAATGGAGACAAATCATAAAGAGCAAAAAATAAAAACAATAGTTACAATAAATGACAGCAAACATGAAATTGTCGACTCAAACATTTTCACAATAAAAAGCATTTCTATAGAGCAAGAGACAATATTACACATACGCCACGTGGCCAGAACATTGAATAACTAAGAGCGAGGCGATACTTAGTTTTTCATACAATATATTATGTATTTGAGCATTTACACTAATGAGTATTTAAAAAAATATTTACGAAACCATTCACAGTACACGACCACAGAAATATTAAGCATACGCAGCATAGTCCAAACTGCTGAAAAGCTGATTATAATTTGGATGTGTGAAAGATGTGAATGTTAAGTCAATTGGGCAAGAAAAAGCTGTTGAAAATACTATTGAGAAATTAAGAATACGAGAAGTTTCTTAGTTCCGAATGTTAAGTTAAGTAAGGCAGGAAAATATTGTTAAAAAATTAGATATATTAAGAATGGAATTATTAAATATATATTCAACTAATATTCTGATAAAAAACAAATGGATGATATAATTTAATAAAAAAAGATATGAATATAATTAATAAAGCATAAAAAATGATTAAACTTAATCATATTTAAGACTGAATTCAGAGTTTTGCCGACCTCAAGGGACAGCACAGTTTATCTATGTGTGTATGGGCCTTGTGAAGTGTTCCATGTGCGCCCATATTGGGGAAATGGACGAGTGGTTGGTTTGTTTATATATCTGTGAATAAATTATCTATTGACATGCCTCGAACGACATGCGGAACGCCCGAAAGTGGTTTAGTTTTCCGTGGTACGCTCTGTAGGTCAATGGCAGCAAAGCTGCTGATTGCGATAACTCGATAACTAATAACAGATGGATTGTGTAATGTAATTAGACCTAACTGCGCCCATGTGATTTCTTACAGCTATAATAGTGGCTAATGTACATATTATTTATTTTTCTATTTGTGCACAGGACACGCTGCTACAACAAGGACAGCGACAAATCTTTGCAATTAACTCGCATAACCGGCCATAGACAAAGCAAAGGCAACAAAAGCAAAGTCCCAGAGAGCGGGCGGACACAACCCAACGCCAATTCACACACACGCACACACATTCACTCGCCCACACGCAACACCAGCACACGCTGCTGCGGCCCACACCCAGCAACATGGGCGACAATATAATTGGCTCGGCGAGCTTCCTTCACTTGGGCGACATTGTTTCCCTCTATGCGGAGGGCAGCGTTTGCGGCTTCTTGAGCACACTCGGGTGAGTACCATTTGTCACATGCTTGTAGGATACTCACTGCACTCGCACTCACATTCAAACATAACTAACTGCACTCGCTCTTCAAAGGCATTTAAGATCTTTGAAGTGCCTAGTCAACTGTTGCATGACACTCAAGAGTTTTTCCCTTCTCTGACATGTCAATATGTCAATTAGTGCACGCTAATTGATATATGA